GTTTTATTTTATTTTATTTTATTTTTTTTGAGAGAGAGAGAGACCGGCGGGGGGGGGGGGGGGACGTGAAAGATAGATAGAAACATCGATGAGAGAGAAACCCAGGTGATAAATAATTACTGCGTGGTAATCTCTGACAAAAGAGACAGACGTTTTAGTGCACCTGTATCTGTGTTTCACCACCAGCACTGGCTACTTTATGGGCAATCATGTAAGGAACTAGGCACAGAATGGAACTTGCGTGGGTGTCTTTCTGTACAAGTAGTTCTAATAAATTACGGCTACTTCTCCCAAAGAGACTTAATATCAACAGCACATTTTCTGTAATATCTAAGAAACGCTAAACAAGTCTTTTAAATAGCCTCAAAATGATTTCCCTTAAAAGGTATTGAGTCTAGTTGTTCTGATGTGATAGAACTTCTGAAAGAGACTGGTTGGTCAGTGTTTTCTGCATCCTCATAGTATATTAGTCAAAACAAAGCAATGTTGCCCTGGCCGGTTTGGCTCAGCGGTTGGAGTGTCAGCCTGTGGACTAGAGTCCCAGGTTCAGTTCCCGCTAGGGGCATGTACCAAAAAAACAAAACAAAACAAAGCAATGCCCTTTATTTTTACCCTCTATATACAGAATTTTCCAGCTGAGGTTACTACACTTCAGAATCACCTATGGAGCTGTGCTTACATATACTACTAGAAATCCTGTTTTTCCAAGTTTTAGAGATGTTTCTAATAGCAGCACTTCCAGCTGAGTAACACTACCAGCCTATATTTGAATTTGTACCATATATATTGTATATAACATGGAAGCAACTTTCATTCATACCAGTTCTGTGGCTTTACAAAGAGGACTTTAGAAGGTAGCTAGAAGGAGAGCCTAGCTATGGTCAGAATTTTGGACTTAAAAGGGAACCATTGTAAACCCTTCCTTTTTACAGAGTTGGTAACTGTATCCAAGACTCGGGCTTGAGCTCTTTCTACGCTAGTTTCTTTGAGAAAACCTAGTCCTTCTTTGAGAAAACCTTCAAAGCCTCTCAGTAATCTAGAAGTTGGCTTGAGCATCCCATAGCCTGCCAAGGGTATTGTGAGGTCTCATGGTTTTTAATAAAAGGAACAGTACTACAGCCAGCAGGAACTTCTTACATCTTTGAAGTAAGGCAGGAGTCATGAGTAATATAACTCATAATTAGAAATTATAGCCATCATCCAGAATGGGGCTTCTTTGTAAACATGTAAATTTCTGATGAGATGCCTAGTTTTGGTACTAAAGATTGGGGAAAAGATGATCAGTTCCATTTAAACTGATCCTTGCCTGGCTGGTGTGGCTGTGTGGTTGTGTGGTTGAGCATTGACCCATGCACCAAGAGGTTGCCAGTTCAATTCCCAGTCAGGGCACATGCCCAAGTTGTGAGCCTAATCCCCAGTGTGAGGCATGCAGGAGGCAACCAATCAATGTGTTCTCTCATCAGTGTTTCTCTCTCTCTCTCTCTTTCTCTCTCTCAAATCAATAAAGAAAAAAATTAAAAATAAATAAACTGATCCTTAATTATTGGCAGCAAGTTTAAGAAATTATGCCAGTTATATTTCTAAGCAGGCCTGACTTGTAGCTTGTACTTCAGAAGGAGGATATTGTGCCCAGATATGCAGTTTAACCAACTAAAGGAATAATATGTTTATTAATTATGATTAAATTTGGCTGTGGAAAAAAAAAAATCATTAGTACTGTTCAGTCATGGTATAGAGATTGATTTTTCTTTTGGATTAAAAAAATCCAAAGGAAAGTGAAGTCCAACATTGGTATGGTTACTTCACCCTAATCAGGTGCTCGGGTTCTTCTGGGGTTTTTTGTTTTGTTTTGTTTTGTTTTTTTGTTCCATCCATCCTTTTTTTTAAAAAGAGAGAGAAACATCAATGTGAGAGAGAATCATTGGTTGCCTACTGTACTTGCCCCTACTAGAGATCGAATACACAACCTTTTGGTGTGTGACAGTGCTCCAACCAACTGAACCACCCAGCCAGGGATGCTCCATGCATTCTTGGCACTAACTTATGTCCTCAAAGTGTCTGATAGTTCTACATGGCTTCTGGAGCTTCAGCCATCATCAAAGGGGCATAGCTCCAACTTGAGGAGTCATCTCCCTTGAAAGAGGTTTTCTAGAACTACCTCATTCAACAATTTCTGCTTCCATCTCACTGGTCATTCCTATTATCAAGGGAGGCTGGAGAGGTATAACTGGGAAGATTGCTGTTCACTGTAATTAGACGTTCTGTTATTAAAGAAGAAGAGAGTAGGTAGTGGGCAGGCAACCAACAAATCTGCTACAACCTATTTTCAAGAATATAATATTTTAAATCTTAGAAAAACTAAATTTTAGTGACATCAAGCACTATTATTCAGAATATGAATTTAAAAGATCCCCTGCCCAGGCTGGTGTGGCTTACTTGGTTAAGCCTTGTCTATGCATCCAAAGGCTACAGGTTTGATTTCCATGCTGGGCATATACCCAGGTTTCAGGTTCGATCCCCAGTTGGGGTGTATATGGGAGGCAGCCAATTGATGTTTTCTCTGTCCCTTTCTCATATCAATGTTTCTCTCTCTCTCTCCCTCTCCCTGTCTTTCTAAAAGCAATAAAAATAACCCGGCCTGTGTGCCTTAGTGGTTAGAGCATCGGCCTGCACACCAGAGTCACAGGTTCGATTCCCAGTCAAGGGCACGTAGCTGGGTTGTAGGATCAATCCCTGGTCCCATTTGGGACACTTTCAGGAGGCAACCAATCGATGTGTCTCTCACATCAATGTTCCTTTCTCTCTTACTCTCTCCCTCCTTCCCTTCTACTCTCTCTAAAAAGCAATGGAAAAAAATATCCTTGAGTGAGGATTAACCAAATAAGTAAATTTAGTGAAAAATATATATTTTTGTCTTCATTGATTTTAGAGAGAGAGAGAGAGAAACATCAATGAAAGAGAATATCAACTGACCACCTCCTGCATGCCCTCCACTGGGGATTTGGCCCATAATCTGGGCATGTGCCCTGACCAGGAATCAAACCAGTGACCTCTTGGTACATAGGTTGACACCCAACCACTGAGCCACACTGGCCGGGCTGAAAATATATTTTAAAACAATAAAAATGAAAGATCCCCAAACTACCATTTACCATGTGTTTGATTAATAAAAGTATTTAGTCTCCATGATAATGTTCTGCTTTGGATTTTTCAGCAGGACTCATTGGGAACAGCTGTTAGGTTTTGTATATTTTAAATAAACTGAAGAATGAGTTCTTCAAAACAACAGGGAGTAAAAGACATTTCAAATTAAATCCTGCTTCTTTTTGGAGATAGGAAGAATCAAAACAACCACAAAGACCATTTAGTGGACATTTATGGAGCTAGTTCGAGCCGGGTATGCTATATTAGATGATCCAGGCTAGGAATCAACTTACTAAGACACTCGAATTATTTAGTATTTAGATGGAAAAAGATTGACTGATGCAGCATATGACATTGTTAAACGCAAATATCACAGCAATGAATCATACCCCGGATATGCAAGACCTATCCTGGAGAGAATGATGGGCACAGTAGGCTAAAGTTTTAAGTAGTAGGTATTGTCTTAGTCCAGTTGAGCTGTTATATCAAAATACTATATGTACCGGATGGCTTATAAACACAGAAATTTATTTCTCACAGATGTGTAAGCTGGAAGTCCAAGATCAGGGTACCAACCTGGTTGGTTAGGTTCTGGTGAAGGCCCTTTTGTGAGTTACAGACCACTATCATCCTGCTGTGTCCTCACCTGGTTAAAGCTCTCTAAGTGGTGGGGTCTCTTTTATAAAGGCACTTATAGGCAAAACCAAGCAGTAATTTGCATCATATACAGTTATAGATCATGATATACATAAGTGTATAAGATGGGAATATTTCTGCTCTATGATACCAGATTTTTAAAATGTTCTGGGCTTGCCTGGCTGGTGTGGCTCTGTGGTTGAGTGTTGACCCATGCACCAAGAGGTCACTGGTTCTATTCCTGGTCAGAGCACATGCCCAGATTATGAGCCAAATCCCCAGTGGGTGGGTGCAGGAGGCGGCCAGTTGATGTTCTCTCTCATCTATGTTTCTATCTCTCTCTTCCTTTCCCTTCCTCTCTCTCTAAAATCAATAAAGAAAAAAAAATGTTCTGGGCTTCATTCATAATCACTTTTCACCTGGTGTTATCTAACACATATTTACTATATACCTCATATCTACAATCCACTTTAAGGAGGAAATTCATCACAAGTTGCCACTTAAGTAAGAGAGTCCAGATTTTGGCTTCTTATAGCTATGAGTTTTAAATCTGGGGAAAACCCAGCCATGTATTTTTTCTTTTTTTCTTTTCATAATTACTTGTCAGTAACCAAACCCTGTCTGTTGACTTTGCTCCAGCTAATAGAAAACAGGAAACTATGTAGCCTCCCTGTGGGAAGAGAGCCAGGCTATACCCTCTGTGACTTCACCCCTTCAGTCTGATTTGCCCTTGGGGCAACAGTTGCAAACAGCTTCATTTGTGGCTTTGGCAGTAAACATAGGAAATGCATATTAAACCAGCTAATGCAACAGGGTCTGTTAGCCTGCCTGGGCTTTGAGCTCAGCAAGCCATCTTTTGAACCTGTTATGATAGTGTACTTTTGGGCATCCTTGGGGAAGAATAGTTTAAACTCTGATCAAGTAATGGATCAGAGACCATTCCTGGTCTTACATTGCAGTAGAAATGTCTTTGGCACTCTGGTGTTAAATAACTGCTCATTTGAACTTATTGCGCAACAACTTGGCCTAGCCGTTCCCACCCTTTATTAGTTCCCTTTGAAGCTATTGTGCTCAGTTTAGTTCTCCAGTAAGGACTATGAAAGAAAATGGAAATCTCAAAAATTGTACTTTCTTTATTTCTACTCAATGCTGATACAGCTATCTCATATTTTGGTTTATATGTCCCTCATTCTGTACCCCTACTTCCTCTCTGCTTTCAGGTGAAGGTCTCCCACAGGTGTATTACTTTGGACCATGTGGGAAATACAATGCCATGGTGCTGGAGCTCCTCGGCCCTAGCTTGGAGGACTTGTTTGACCTCTGTGACCGAACTTTTACTTTGAAGACTGTGTTAATGATAGCCATCCAGTTGGTAAGTTGGTATTGCAAAAGGATAGTCAGGCCCCCCACCCCCGACACATCCTTTTGTCCTTTTTTGTGAATGCACACTCACAGTCTTTTTTTTTTTTTTTTTTTTGTGGTATGTGCCCCTAGCGGGAACTGAACCCGGGACTCTCTGATCCGCAGGCTGACGCTCAACCGCTGAGCCAAACTGGCCAGGGCCACACTCACAGTCTTAATGGCCTTCTAGGAAGCTGGCTGCAGCAAAAAGGGCTAACCCAGAGAAGTCACACTGCATATACTCTTTGCTCTATTTAAAAAATTTGCACCTCTGCCCAACCAGTATGGCTCAGTGATTGGGCGTCGACCCATGCACCAAGAGGTCGCCAGTTGGATTTCAGTCAGGGCTCATGCCCAGGTTGTGAGCTCAGTTCCCAGTGGGGTCATGCAGGAGGCAGCCAATGTTCTTTCTCATTGATGTTTCTATCTCTCTCCTTCTCCATTCTTCTCTCTCTCAAATCAATAAAGGGGAGGGGGGATTGCATCTCTGAACAGTACCCTGCCCTTATCTGACGTGGAAGCATATAATTTAGGGTAGGGAGAAAGGATGATTAGGTGAAGTTTTACAAATGCATATTTCTTAGATGTTTTATTTATAGGTTTAAACACACGACTGTAAGATTTTGTCATGTCCTCCCTCTCCCCTTGCTGTTGCATCCAAAAAGAGATCGAAGATGTAACCCACTGCCCTAACAATCAGGTTTTGAAATTGTGTGACCAAGAAACCTCCTTTTAGTTCTCTGGCCTTCAATGCTCAGAGAATTACACAGCTGAAGAGGCAGCTTTCTCAGCTCCTGCCAAATTACACACCATTACCAGTTTGAGGAACAGTTGCTTTGAGAAGTTTGTCAGCCGCTCAGGGGAGGATGCAGATGCATCTTTATTGGTCTGAGATGGTGATGGTCTCCACTTTACAGCAAAAAACTCGGAAATGTTGGAAAATTGACTTTATATTTGGAGCCCAAAATTCAAATGTCTGTGCTTCCCTTTCTATACTAAGTATTAAAAAGCTTTGAGGCTAGAAATGAACTTAATGAAATTTGAGATAATTTTATGATTATTATTTTGGGCTATTTTTACTTTCACATATAAACTGCACCTTTATCTTTGTTACTAATTAGGTATCTGATATTAATCCAGTATTAACTTCTGTGGGTCTCACTTTCCTTATTTCTGCAATTAAGGGATTTGAATTGGGGAGTCCCGTTTAACTGATAGAAAGGTGTGGGCAGGAGGTGAATGTGGCAGTGGTATTGTCTTCAAAGGCTGCCAAATATTTTGCTATCCTGTCTGGGAATAAATACTTCTTGCCTCTCAAATGCTTACATTCTGAAATAGCATAAAAGCACTTAATTCTGCCTGGCCAGTATGACTCAGTGGATTGACCGTTGTCCCATGGACTGAGAGGTCCCAGTTTGATTCCTGGTCAGAGCACATGTCCGGGTTGGGGGCTTGATCCCTAGTAGGGGTCGTGTAGGAGGCGGCCGATTGATGTTTCTCTCTCACATTGATGTCTCTATCTTTTTCTCCCTTCCCCTCTCTCTCTAAAAAATCAATTTAAAAAAAACAATTCTGTTTCTCATTTGCAAATTGTAACATTATAAGGTTTAGCAAATAAAACCTTGGGCCGATAAAGTAAATGTTTTTTCTCTTTCAGCTTTCTCGAATGGAATATGTGCACTCAAAGAATCTCATTTACCGAGATGTCAAGCCAGAGAACTTCCTGATTGGCCGACAAGGCAATAAGAAAGAGCATGTTATACACATTATAGACTTTGGACTGGCCAAGGAATACATTGACCCTGAAACCAAAAAACATATACCTTACAGGGAGCACAAAAGTTTAACTGGAACTGCAAGATATATGTCTATCAACACGCATCTTGGCAAAGGTGTGTTTATTTTTTTCTCCTTCATGAACAGGACAGGTTTTTAAAACAACTTTTTATTCCAATAACACTTTGTCCCTATTGTGCATTGCAACTTGTGATTCTTATTGCTTCACAAGGTAAGTGATTTTTATATTTAAGAATTTAAGATGGTAAGTTAGTGATTTTCCTGAGTATCCTATTGACAACTTATGGATTTTAATTCTTTATATAGTTGACCCTTGAACAACATGGGTTTAACTTCACAGATCCACTTATATAGTTTTTTTTTTTTTAATGAATACTATAAATGTATTTTCTTTATGATTTTTTCTTAACATTTTCTTTTTTGTAGCTTACTTGATTGTAAGAATACAATATATAGCCCTGGCCGGTTTGGCTCAGTGGTTGGAGCATCTGCCTGCAGACCAAAGAGTCCCGGGTTCGGTTTCCGGCCTGCACACCAAAGGGTCACCGATTCGATTCCTGGTCAAGGGCACGTACCTGGGCTGTGGGTTCAATTCCCAGCCCCTGTTGGGGTTGTGCAGAAGGCAAACAATTGATGTGTGTCTGTCACATCGATGTTTCTCTCTCTTTTCCCTTCCCTTTCTCTAAAAATCTATGAGAAAAGGTCCTTGGGTGAGGATTAACAAACAAACAAAAAAACCAGGACAATGTATAATACGTAAAAAAAATAAATACATGCGCCCTGGCTGGTTTTGCTCAGCGGTTAGAGCGTTGGTCTGGGTCCAGAGAGACCTGGGTTCAGTTCCCACTAAGGGCACATGCCTCGGTTGTGGTTTGTCCCAAGCCCTGGTTGGGTCATGCAGAAGGCAACCACTCGATGTGTCCCTTTCATGTCGATGTTTCTCTCTCTCTACACATCTTTCTCCCACTCTTTCTGAACAAAAAATGGAAAAATGTCCAGGTGAGGATAATAAATAAATAAATACATAAGTGCTAATCGACTGTGTTATCTGTAAAGCTTCCAGTCAACAGTGGGGTATTAGTAATTAGCTTTTTGGGGAGTCAAGAGTTACATGTGGATTTTTTTACTGCAGGCAGTCAGCACCCTTAAACCCCATGTTATTCAAGGGTTAACAGTACTGTTTCCAAATGCTTACTTTCTTAGCAGTGTGGGTAATTGAATTACTGTATTAATGTGATAGCATTTGAGTAAGTTTAGTGTTAAGTTTGGTACGGATGACCTTATATATGACATCAAACTGGTATCTGCTTTGGGGAAGAGTTCTTCACTAAAACATGGATTAGACTGCTGTTTGCTGTGCATAATTTTTTAAGGAAGAGCTTATGTCTTGTTCAGTGAAATATACTTGCTTTTCCATGAGTCTTGCATTTTCTTCAGGATAGATAGTTTGCACAAATATTTGAAAAAGCCCTAAATCAAGGCAAGTGGCCTCTCTTGTGAGAGAAACTAATCTAGTGGAGAGGATTTGTGAGAGAAGCCTGAAGAAGAGTGGAAGGCCAAGTCCGCAGGGCCCTGACCTGGGGCTCCCCACCAGCTTCTCCAGAAAAGCTTCCCTTTTTATCTGTCTTATATATTGGTCTTTCATGGAAGATTCTATTTGGAGACAAGGTTCCATGGTAATTTAAAAAAAATACGTTTGGCCCTGGCCGGTTTGGCTCAGTGGTTAGAGCGTCAGCCTGTGGTCCACAGAGCCCTGGGTTCGGTTCCCGCTAAGGGCATGTACCTTGGCTGCAGTTTGTCCCCCACCCTGGTTGGGTCATGCGGGTGGCAGCCACTCGATATGTCCCTTTCACATCGATGTTTCTCTCTCTCTCTCTCTCTCTCTCTCTCACTCTCACTCTCTCTCTTCCTCTCTCTCCCTCCTGCTCTATCTGAACAAAAATGGAAAAATGTCCTCAGGTGAGGATTAAAAAAAAAAAAATTTGTTTCGCCCTGGCCAGTTTGGCTCAGGGGTTAGATGGCACATACCTTGGTTGCAGTTTGTCCCCAGCCCTGGTTGGGGCGGTGTGGGTGGCAGCCAGTTGATGTGTCTCTCACATCAATGTTTCTCTCTGTCTCTTCTCCCTCTCTCCCTCCTGCTCTGAAGATAAATGTAAAAAATGTCCTTGAGTGAGGATTTAAAAAAAAAAGGTCCTAATGGCTTAAATTATCATAGGTTATTTTAGAAATGGAAAATTACTTTTCAGATTATCTAAAGCAACCACTTTATTTTTCAGTTGAGGACAGTTAGGCCCAAAGTAGATGATTTGATCATGCTGAATTTCACATGGATTAAATGAATGGAAAGGTTGGATCAAGAGCTAGATGACCTGACTCCACAACCATGGTTTATTCTGTTACCCTATAGTCCACAGCTATTTTTCATGGTTCTCAGTTTTTGAATGTTACTGTATTACTTATTCCAGTGGGCTTAAATTTTGTTTATTTTTTAAAATCTCAGTTTATAATGAATGGCCTTTGCAGTGAAGAGAAAGAAGTTGGCCTTTTTTTTCTGTAGGGCTGATCAATATGGAAAACATGGGGAGTTCCGCCCTCTTGTGCTCAACTAACTTAAGTGCAACCATTTGTGCAGTGAGTGTTTTATTACCAAGGGGCCTCGTTACAGGAAGTCGATATAAAAATGGAGTGCTGATGAGTAGGTGTGATATAGTGTGAGAAACTGCAGGGTGTTATTTCTCTATCTGCCCTAATTTGAGGGAGGCCTCGATTGACCCTGCTTCTGTTTTCTTTTTAATTTATTTTATCTTTAAGTTCTGTTAACAAACTCTGCTTTTGTCTAATGGCTTTTTGTTTTCAATTACCTATAAAATTTATTGCAAACTTCAGGCAAGCCGAGTAGACAGTAGCTCCTGGTTTTGCTGTTGTTTTTTTTTTTATTCTTTTTCAGATAACTTCAATTTTATGTTATTTATATATCTTATCAGGGTGCCTTTAGTGACTGACCTTTCCAAAAACCTCCTTCAAACAGCAAATTGGAAAGTTGCCTTTTCTTTGTTTTTCTATCCAGTAGAGTACCATTCTCTCTTTTTCATGCAAATTGCCCATAATTGATGGCTGCAGTAAAACATGTTGTGCTTTAGTATTGTGAGTTAGCAGAGTAGCTTTCCCACCTCCCTGATTCCCTGGGTTTTACTTTATACACAATGAAACATGGTCAAATTTAAGGAAGCCCCTTAGTCTTGCTTCTGTAATTTTTTTTTATAAATCCCTAAACTTGATTCTGAAAAATAAACACATAAAATGTCTGAAATGAACCATAATTAGTAAATTAGAAATGAAGGCATGTACAACCTGATAACCAAAGGTGGTATAGGATGTTTTCTGAGATGAAGTTACAATTTTTTATTAACTATCCTACAATTTTTTATTATTTTAATCATTCCAATTAAACGAAAGAAAAACCACTTTGCTGGTGTGGCTCAGTGGTTGAGCATCGACCCATGCACCAATAGGTCACCGGTTCCGTTTCCAGTCTGGGCACATGCCCAGGTCGTGGGCCAAATCTCCAGTGGGGTACATGCTGGAGGGGACCAGTCTATGTTCTCTCTCATCGATGTTTCTATCTCTCTCTTTCTTTTTTATCTATTTTTTTTTTTTATTTTTCCTCACCCGAGGATATTTTTCCATTTTTTTGTACAGGTAGAGTGGGTGGGAGAGAGAGGAAGGGAGAGAGAGTGAGAAACATCGACGTGAAGGGACACATCGAGTGGCTGCCACCCACACGACCAACCAGGGCCGGGGACAAACTGCAACCGAAGTACGTGCCCTTAGCGGGAACCGAACCCGGGTCTCTCCGGACCGCAGGCCGACACTCTAACCGCTGAGCCAAACTAGCCAGGGCTCTATCTCTCTCTTTTTAAAAAGTCAATAAAGGGGAAAAAAATTTTTTTAAATAAAAGAAAAATCCAGCAACTTGTCTTACATGATAAGCTCCCAGAATGTGAGGATCCTATTTTATATGCCCATAAAGTGCACCTTCGTAATAAATTTTAAAATTTTCTTAAGGTAGCTATTATGGAACATGGCACAAATGGAATGAAGCTGAGATTATACATTGATGTTTGATTATATCAAATTAAATTTTGATATTTTTAATTAATTTTTATGATAAATAAAAAGCACTATCCATGTATGCCAGGCATTGTGCAGCTTGTGTCTTCCCAGGCCTAGCCAGAGTGAAAGGTTTTAACAGTTTCAGCTGCTCACCTTCTCTAATCGTAACCAGGGATAATTGTAATCCATATACTGAAAATAACGTTTCATTTAAATGATCTTACTTTCAGGACAGTGACAGCATTGAGTGAGTGGTGGTTACGCATTGTTTAGTGATTTGGACTTGGTTTTAGTTTAGGATTTGCTCTTTTCACTTGATATTTACTTGCCAGTGACAGATCTACGCAAAAGAGGTGCACAAATACTATCCCTGGTTTAGATAATCAAAGAATTAGTAAGCAGAGCCTTTACAGAGCAGAAGGATTTCTGAATGGACTGTTTTTGATTCCCTTTCCACTTTATTAACTGCAAATGTAATGTGTGATCTATCTTCCCTTTTAGAGCAAAGCCGGCGGGATGATTTGGAAGCCCTAGGCCATATGTTCATGTATTTCCTTCGAGGCAGCCTGCCCTGGCAAGGACTCAAGGTACCCTTGAAAGTGCTCAGTGGAGGGCTTTGTTACAATACTCAGTTGTTAATGAAGGGGTTGCTGACTTGATGTCTGCAAGAAGCACAAAGGGGATGATTGGCTACAGAGATGAGAAGCAGGAACTAGTTACATTAGTCTATATTGTAAATGCTCACCTGGGCTTTTGGAAGCTCTTGTTTTGCTCACATTTGTCTTCTTCCCCATCTGAATCATTCTTCCTTGCTTTTGGATTTTCTATAATCTCTTCCTTGGTTCCCTCCCAGCCATGGCAGTGCTGCTTTTCTCTCTGTCAGTATGCCTCTTCCACTACCATTTTGTAGCAAGATGAGTGTTCCCAGTGTGTTGGGGGAATTTCTATAACAAATTGACAGCAGCTGCTGCATATTTTACCAGCAAGGCCAGCAGGGCTGGGTGTGTCCCTATAGGAAACTAGAAATATTTGTTCATCCAATATAGGCTGAGTGCTCACCTGAACTAAAACAAAAAGCCAGGTTTAACGTTGCTGTTCAAGCGTTTTATTGAATAAATGCCTATGTAGACAATAGCCATTCCTTGCGAAACATGTAGTTTCAGTAGGCTTCCGTTGGTAGGTACAGTACATTTGTGTCATTGTTAATTATTAATTATAAATATAACCATTGTAATTACTCTGTGCCTCTGGCTATAGACTAAAAAATGGTAAGCTTCTAAGCCATGTTAAATCCCTTTAGATAGTTATGTTTGAGTTGTAATTTATATCAACATGTTAGTATGGAAAGAATTAATCAGTAGCTTTGGGTATGCATATACCCTGTACCACCTCCAAAACGGCAGAATGATGGATTTCGCTGTGCTCTCTAGAACATTGTCCTGAAAAGTAAGGCTTCTACCCCCTTCCCTTTGGGAAGATTACATTTCTTCTCCTTAACTCTTAACATCTCCTCCATGGTCTTCTCCTAGTCATATATATCTTCACATTGATATTGACAATTGTCAAATAAAGTTTCACATCCTGTTTGCTCATTATATGGCTAAACAATGTATTCATGTATGTATTATTAATTGCTTGAAACTTTCTCATGATCCATGAATAATTTTCATGATAGATGTAGATCTGAAATTTCTCCAACTTAATGTAGAACATCATTGCTTAAAGCTGGGTATAGCAAGCTAGGTGGAGTCTCAAGAGATTCTCTTGAGACCACATTGTTGGTCCAAGCTCCAGGAGCTCTCTGACTATAGTCCTGAGCAAACCAAACTTCGCTTTTGAGCCACTGACATATATCAAACCTATCTGTTAGCCATGCCTATATCATAGATAACATTTTTTCCTATGGAACCACATTGTAGAAAGACATTGTTTTCTACTTCTTGGTTTTTTTCTGTTTAAACTTCACAGTAAATATGTAGAGCCATCTATCTGCCCCTAATTGATTATCAATATTTTTTATCTTGTCATAGAGCTGAATCACTTTTTCTTTTATTGATTCCAGAGGGAGAGAGAGAGAAAAACATCAACTGGTTGCTTCCTGCACAGGGATGGAACCCACAACCTGGGCACATGCCCTGAACAGAAACTGAACCCTCTGTGTATGGGACAACATTCCAACTGAGGCACACTGGCCAGGACAAGGCTGAATCACTTTTGAACCCTAGTGGCCAATTTTGAAAATAATTGCTAGATGATATTTTTATTTTCTTATCCTAGCCACTTGTCTCATTTGATGGTGTTTATCTGAGACTACTAAATATATTTTCAAGTAAACATTCCAGAACAAAGAAGATGCTTTGTACATATTTAAAAACATCATCTCTTGCCCTGGCTGGTTTGGCTCAGCGTAGGCCCACAGACCAATGAATCGCGGGTTCGATTCCTATCAAGGGCACGTACCTTGGTTGCAGTTCGTCCCCAGCCCTGGTCAGGGTCGTGCGGGAGGCAGCCAGGCGATGTGTCTCTTTCACATCGCTCTCTCTCTCTGTCTCCCTCCCTCCCACTCTATCTGAACATAAATAGAAAAATATCCTCAGGTGAGGATTAAAAAATAAATAAATAGCCCTGGCCATTTTGGCTCAGCGGTTAGAGCGTCGGCCTGCAGACCAGAGGGTTCCGGGTTCAGTTCCCGTTAAGGGCACGTACCTCGGTTGCAGTTTGCCCTCGACTTGTGGGTGGCCACCAGTCGATGTGTCTTTCTCATATCGATGTTTCTCTGTCTCTTCCTCCCTTTCTCCCTCCCACGCTATCTGAAAATAAATGCAAAAAATAAAATAAAAAATAAATAAAAAAAAATCATCTCTTCTACATTTGCTTTTTGCTAGTCTCAATTGTTTTTCTCTCTAACACTATCTAACAAATCCTGCCAGTTTGAGTGAAACAACCATTATGTTCCCAAATATACTGGACCTCCCATACTTAGCACCTCTTTCCAAATAACTCTCTCTCTTTACTCTCTACAGGCTGATACATTAAAAGAGAGATATCAAAAAATTGGTGACACCAAAAGGAATACTCCCATTGAAGCACTCTGTGAAAACTTCCCAGGTAAGATGCCAAAAGGACACTCCAGTGAATGTGACTAAGTCTTTGAAGTAGATGAAGACCATGACTTGGGTTCTCTACTTTAGATAAAGGTGCTCTCCAGAAAACTTAAATTTTCTTTTATTGTTATTTAGACTAAGATAGGTTTTGTCATTTTGGTTGGTCCATGGAAATACCAGTGTCAAATAGCCAGTACCATATTCCTTGCTTGGCCCAGAGCTTCTGCCCACGGGATGCATTCGGTCAATGAGCATGGTCTTTCACCTCTTTCCTAACAGAGGAGATGGCAACCTACCTGAGATATGTCAGGCGATTAGATTTCTTTGAAAAACCTGACTATGAGTATTTACGGACCCTCTTCACAGAACTCTTTGAAAGGAAAGGCTACACTTTTGACTACGCCTACGATTGGGTCGGGAGGCCTATTGTGAGTATCCTCTTTTTACCTCCTCACCTCAGACCAGCACTACCTCACCCCTTTCCTCGGCAGACTTTCTGCTTAAATCGGTGGGATAAAAAACATTCCTTTGACTGTAGATTTTACAGTTACCAACCTTTTCAGGGTAATGCATAAACTTCTCTTACTAGGGTTAAGAATTAGGAGTAACTCCCTTTATATGCTTTTAAGATTATGACCATAGTCCTGAGAGACCAGAATTTAAGCTATTTTTGTTAAAAATATGTTCTTACTGATTTTTTAGAGAGAGAGAGAGAAAGAGGGAGAGAAACATTGATGTGAGAGCGAAATATCAATGGGCCGCCTCCTGCATGCCTCCTACTGGGGATCAAACCTGCAACTCTGGCATGTGCCCTGACCAGGAATTGAACTGGGGCCTCTCAGTCCATGGAACAATGCTGAATCCACTGAGCCACACCAGCCAGGCTAAGCCAGTTTTTAAGAAGAATTTTCATTTGAATAATGCAGAAGCTGGTGCTACATAAGTTGTTATGGTGATTGACTTCAGTAGGAGTATAACTTAGCACCATAGGACACTTTTGAATTTGCTCTTCTGGCCAGGAGTCATAGCGCCCGAGAGCATGCTAACAAACATCACTGCAAGATGTTTTTTTTATTTTCAAAGGTAAGCTACTCTCCAGTGAACTATTGAGGACCAAGCTGCCTGCATCCCTTTTGCAGCTAAGCAAACTAAAGACAAGAAGACTTGAAACTGCCCTTGGTGTCTGGAAATAATTACCACCATTCTGTTAGAATTTGAATGATACTATCCTTTGCAGAGGCATTAAGTTGGACCTGTTTTCCCCATTTGACTTTTTGTTATCTTTTTCTAGCCTACCCCAGTAGGGTCAGTTCATGTAGATTCTGGTGCATCTGCTGTAACTCGAGAAAGCCACACACACAGGGATCGGCCATCACAACAGCAGCCTCTACGAAATCAGGTATGTGTTGGACCTTCATTTTAGACATTCCCTTTATTTGTGGTTAATGTTAACACCCACATTCTTCAGCTTCTTTGCTTAAGTGTATATGTTGAAATCAAAGAAAAAGTCCTTGTCAGTTTTCACTGGTGTGCTGTGGCGTTCTAGCATCCCTCAGGGTTTGTGTAATGGCACTCAGATATAGCCAGATGCCTTACATGAAGCATCCACTCTAGAGAACCTGGGCCTGTCAGAATCTGTTGGCTGAAAGGACCTGCTGGACATATAGGATGGCCAGGCTGGCCCACTTTGAGTCTCATTGGCACTCCATGGTGCACTCTTGCCAGTGCTGGTTTCCCCTTGCTGGTTAGGAAGGATGGGTAATTTGGACTTCCAGATGACCTGGGAATGAACTGGCACCTCCACTCTATCTCTGGCCCTGTACCCAGGTTAACTCTAGAGTTATGAATGAAGACTCAGCCTTGCTTTAGGCCACTCCACAGAAGGACATGTCATCTCTTTTTCCGTATTCATGATTTGGAAAAATAGTGGTCTGAATGAGAATCTTCTCTTAGCCTCAAGACAGAGGAGGTAAACACACACACAAAAAAATCAATGGATTTGCCCTGACCTTTTTGGCTCAGGAGTTAAAGCATTGGCCTGTGGACCAAAGGGTCTTGGATTCGATTTCTGGTCAATGGCACATACCTGGGTTGCAGGTTCGATCCCCGGCCCCAGTCAGGGTCATGTGGGAGGCAACCAATCAATGTGTCTCTCTCACATTAATGTTTCTCTCTCCCTCTCTTTCTCTCCCCCTTCCTCCCTCTCTTCCACTATATCTAAAAATACATGGAAAAATATCCTTGGGTGAGAATTTGAAAAAAAAAATCGATGAATTTGACGACGTTTTTAATGAAAGGAGAAACTGTGATTTGAATGAATAGGAAGGAAATTAATATGATGATTATCTTTATATCATAATATATTATTAAAAGAAAAATGACTTTTGTAGATAAATCAATGAAGAATAATGAATAGTTAGATACACGTGACTTTTGCACACACACACATGATCATTATCACCTATCAAATTAGCTTGTTTTTTCTCCTCCACTCTTTTATATTCACACTTTTACAATAAAATGCAATAACACTTATTATCTTACACATGCACATGTGAAAATACATAGGTTAAAAATAGTATATAGGGGTGGGAGGGAGGGCCTGTAGGGGGGAAAGAAGAAACAACTGTAACAAAAATAAATTAATAAAAATTGGGGAAAAAATAGTATATAGAAATATATACACGTATATACAATGGAGTACATACAAAATATGTACTCCCTCTCTCCCTTCCCTCCCTCTCTATAAAAAAACTCAATGGAAAATATCCTCAGGTAAGAATAACAAAACAAAAAGTTTTAATTTGACTGACTTCTGATTTGACAACAGAATAATTCTGCAGTTATTCTTACCTACCACCTTATTTATTTATTATTTTTTTATCCTCACCCAAGGACTTTTTTTTTTTTTGCATTTATCTTCAGATAGAGGTGACGGGAGAGAGGGAGGAAGAGAGAGAGAGAGACATTGATGTGAGAGAGACACATCAAGTGGTTGCCACCCACACGACCCAAACCAGTGCCAGGGACAAACTGCAATCGAGGTACGGGCCCTTGGCGGGAACCGAACCCGGGACTCTCTGGTCTGCAGGCCGACACTCTAACCACTGAGCCAAACCGGCCAGGGCTCCTACCACCTTTTCAAAAAGCATAGTTGAGTACACAGTTAAACTGACAGTCTCATAAATTGCTCTTGACTTTGCAAATTGTTACAAATACTCTAGAAAGTAATTTGATAAAGTTACTGTCCTCTTTGATAGGATAATCTTACTCTTGGAATCAATCATAATAAAACAACCCAAGATATAGATTAAGTTATGTGTATAAAACTGTCACAGTGTCATTTGTAGCAGTTTTAGAAATGACCCACCTATCTAGTTACAAAGAATGGTTATGGATCCAGCTCAAATCCTTTATCAAATAAACTGAGTTATAATAAAGTGATTTGTAAATGTTATATAGTCACTTAAAAGAATATTTGGGCAAACTTATAGCATCCTGAAAATGTTTATGGTTTGTATAGTGAGGAAATTAGAAGTGCCTCAAGATTTCCCCTCAGGGGAAGGGAAGATGAGAGGAGATGGGAGGAGATGATGCCAAAATATTAACAGAATTAATGTTCTAAGAGGTAGTATTGTGGGTAATATTTTTCTTAACAATTTTTTAATGAAGTTATAAGGTAATTACATTACCTTATAATGAAAATGCATTTATTGATACTTGCCTAAAGAAGAAAATGCATTTAAATAGAAAAAATATGGAAAAATAAATAATTTAAGTAATCAGTGAAGTCTAATCAACATATCTGCCTGCTCACGTTTTTTGGAATATTTGAAAACTAAAACGTGTTTCCTTTGATTTTCCTGGTCTTTTCTGGTTCAGTGAATTCATAATCATTTCTGCTGTTTTGAATGGATGTTAGAAGTATGGGAACAAGAGATGGTTGAAAACTTGCCTAGCTGGTGTGGTTCAGTGGTTGAGTGTCAACCCATGTACCAAGGGGTCACTGGTTTGATTCCCAGTCAGGGCATGTGCCAGGGTTTCAGGCTCAGGCCCTGTGCAAGAGGCAGTTGATCGATGTTTCTATTCTCACTCTCTCCCTTCCCCTTCCCCTTCCCCTCTAAATATCAAGAAAAACACATTTAAAGAAAAAGAAAACCTAAATTGCCAAGGTGGGAAATGAGGTCATACCCAGTATCTGAGAAAGGACAGTGAACTTCAATGTACTTTTTTTCTTTCTTATTGATTTTTAGAGAGAGGAAGGGGAGAGAGAGAGCAAGATAGGAACATCAATGCGACAGAACATCGATTGGCCACCTCCTGCATGCCCCCCACTGGCCCTGACCAGGAATCGAACCAGTGACCTCTTGGTATATGGGTCGCACCAGCTGGGCTCAATGTACTTTTAAAGGAAAGGTCATTAAACAGCTGCATGCAATTAGGATATCTCATCTGAAAGGTGATAAGCTTCATTTTGAAGAATTTAATCTAAAGATCTGAGGTTTTTTTGTTTTTAAAGTGTCCCATGGCTGCTGAGGGATTGAAATGCCCCATATTAATGCAAATTTTGCAGATCATTCCTAGCAGGATTCTGAATCCTTGCTTGATAGAATTCTTTTTGCCCTGTGCACTGTGGGTAAATGGATTTCTGGTCTCTGCTAAGCTTTTACACAGTGTTTAGTCTGTGGTCTCATGGCTTATATTTCATCATTAGGGTTGTTTTCTTGTGCTTTTGGGTATTTTTTAGTTGCAGCTAAATATGTTCCTTTTATGACTCTAGTGATTGAAAATAGTATGGTCTTTTAGACTAACTCTTTTCAAGTTTTGAAATCAGCAAAAGAAGAAAATAAAATCTCTCCTTGAGAGAGATTGAAAGATATTTACTTTAGTGACAATTAATATTTTTTTCAGCAACTTTGACTCAGTAAATCTGGCGGAGGACCTACTATGTGAAAGTATATCCTGGAGATACCGGGATAAGTAGGGATTCCTTGTCCTCAAAGCACTGACAAGCAGATAAGCCAAGTACCCAGATAACTATAACACAAGACAACAAATAAAGCTTCCCAAGTTGCAAATTATCATCATCAGGTATTGAAAGAAGGAGACATTTCATGTAGTCTGAGCATGACAGAGTTTCATGAAAGAAGCTGCATTTGAAATGTTTTTACAAGAATTAAGTGGAAATAAAAGAGTCATTTCAAGCAAAGCAGGAAATAATGAGCAACAGCAAACTATCTAGTTCCATTCTGCTAAATATATAGTGTGAATAAAGGAGATAGGCTAAGAAAATGGGTTGGAGCCATTTAATGAAGCTTCTGGAATGCCGGGCTGAAGAATTGGTACTTAATTTCAGTAGGGATTAAACACTAAAGGTTTTGGAACAGAGAAGTGATATGATTAAAACTTTGCTTTAGAAATCTTTTGACCCAGAAGGTAATAATAGCCTGGCAGCAAGCTTGCAGGCCAGTAAGAGGACAGTGAGTTCTCTTGAGAGGTAAAAGGGCCCTTGATGGGCTGTAGTAGTAAAAATGAAATAGAATTGAAAAATGACACAGGGATATAATCTACCAGAATTAGCAGCCCACATGTATGTCAGGGTTGAGGGAGAAGGAAGAGTCAAGCTTTTGCTGAGGTGTAAAGCCTGGATAATTAAGAGGCTGGTGGTACTATTACTAGAAATGGGAAATGTGAGGGAGAAACTCATTTGGAGTTTGAATTTAGGCATCTTGAGTTTGAAATACTAGCTGTGTATTCCAGCTGAAGATTGCTAGTAGGTAGAGGATGGGTTTCAAAAGAAAACCAGAGCCCTGGCTGGTTTGGCTCAGCGGTTAGAGCGTCGTATCATATATTGTACTGTTGATGGTTTTATTCAATGTGATTGTTCAACGTGCTATATATAGGATATTGCATTAACTAGGATGTACACCCTTCCTGGTCTTTTAGAACTTTAAGCATTTTGGTAATTTCCTTTTTCTGCCATCTACTCCTTTTATTTGGTCACTTTTCTGTGGGCATATGAAGAAAGGGTACTTGGCTTACAAGGTGAGGGAGAACAGATCTGTTTTGAGGTTGGAGTCTTACTGGCCATCAGGAACTATTAAACTCTACCAGACATGGTATCCTACCCCTAATAATATTGAATCCCAAAATAGTACTTATTAATTTTTATATGTGCAGCATATATTTAGGAAAAGAGTTTATTCTTTGTCATTTTCTACTAGGTGAACTGTTCACTTTCAAATTCTCCAATTTGACTAGACAGGAAAATGTGAATTTAAGATCAGTCAAGCTGATCCTTCATCCTTCTAGGGCCATATTTAAACTAACTCAGTACCTTATAAACACACAAGAAATAAACAACAAAACCTAAAAGAGCTCAGTCATATTGAGTTCTAA